GGCGTTATCAGCTCAGGACCCTGCTTTTTGCTGCACCTTCAGGACAGCTGAACTCTTTGAGGCCATAATATAAATCTATTTTGGCCCTTTTTGGCATTTTCCAGGCTGCGATGGAGCAGTTTCATTTGCAGTTGCTTTTCCCTCACTCCTCCCTGCACCACAGCCACTTCACTTGCAGGGGAAGCCATCCTTATTCTTCACAGCAAAAGGAAAATATTTTAACCTGTATGTTTTGCACTGCGAGGGGCTGAGAGAAAGCTGTTTCCTTCCTCTGCGGGGAGGTCTAGCAGCTTGGCTTTGCCAGGAAGGGACTGTGGAGAGGGAGACAAATCAGCCTGTTTCAAGCCAGTGCCCGGTTGCTCTGAGCACACTCGGGTGGCATCTGCTAGGATTAAGGAAGCTCCCTCAGCCACTTCGGGACGTCACTGCGCGTTATGCCCTGCCCTGCCTGCCAGGCCCAGGGGCGCTTGCTGGGATCATGTCCATGAAGGAGACTGGGAACGTCTTTATTGAAACTCAGGCGGCAAAATCTGCCAAACAAAACAAAGTGCTGCTGTCAGGAGGAGACAGGGATCCGGGACCGCTGGGTTGGACTTCATTCTGCAAATCCCAATCCTCTGTTTTAAAGTACACACAGCCCCAAAGCACATCGTGTGTGAGTTGTAGGTGTCAGGACAGGACTGGGGAAACGGGGCCCAAAGATGAGTATTTGGGGAACATTAACGTCAGTACAGCTTGCACAGTCCCCAGCCTATGTGGGCTCAGTAGCCCAAGGCCTCCACAGCATGGAGGTGGCCCAGTCCTGGGGCAGTTGCTAATTGCATCGGAGCTAATGGGCCTCATGGGGCAGCAGTCCTGGCACAGCTGGCAGCACCAGCTCCTGAGCCCTGCTCACCCCTGGCTCTGGGCAGGGGTCCGGGCAGGGGCTTCGCTCAGGACTGCCAAGCCTGGGCTGCCTGGCCGCTTCCTCAGCAGAGTGGGTGATCCCCACAGGGACACTGAGTGGGGCAAAATGGTTGCCAGCACTGCTGGAAGCCAGTCCTGTTACGGAGAAACTTTGGAGAGGGGAAGAAGAAGGTGTCTGTGTCTACATTTTGCCTCACAGTAGACAGAGAGGATCCAGTCAGACACATGATTTTCAGCATAAGATTTGCTGTCTTGTTTTTTTTCTTTTCCGTCCATCTTTCCTCTCTTAAAATTTCAAGTCTGGTTGGTTTTTTTTTTTTGGAGATTGAAGGTTTTTACATGGGCTGGGCTTGCCTTGCCTTTGTTTCCAGGGGCATCTGAATCATGACGAGATTTTTCTGCTGAGCGTTTAGCTGTGTGAACTGAATGTGGGGGCTAAAAATGGAAAAATTGAGAGCTTTAAAAATAAAGGAAAATCAAGCTCTTATCAGAGCTCCCTGGCTGCGGCTCAGGCAGAAATAAACAACATGGATTTTGTTGAGTGAGGGACTCAAAAAAACAGTGAAAAGCACTTGCAAGCTTTCTTTATCCTTCGGAAAGAAATCTTCACTGCCCTCCTTTCCTCTCCCAGCTCTTGGCTGCCACCTGTGAGTCGCACACAGTCACAGTGTACCGGTGCTTTTCCCCTGCTGCTCTCCAAGCACCGGGTACTGAATCCGATTTCTTGGGGACCTGGAGGTCAGCAAATATCTCCTTGCCTTCTGTCCTCGTACGCCTTACTCTTCGCGTCCTCGCTGCAGGCAGGGGTTGCAGCGGAGGCGTCTCCCCCCAGCCTGAACATGCCCAGGAGTAAAGCACGGCACCCTGCAGCACGCCGAGGACCCACAGTGGTGGCTTGGCCATAGTGGTGAAGGCTGCGCCCTGAGCCCCCATTGAGGTGGCCGATGGAGGCTTTGCAAACCTCTGGGTGCATTCATGCAGCTTCTGCATTTCTTTCTGAATCCGTAATCAGCCTAGTGATGCCAAGAGCAATTGCCTGGCACCAGAGCAAAGCGACTCCAGGAAAAGTTTCCCCCCTGCAAAACTTGCATCATCTCATTACATCTTGCCACTGTCCTTGTGCTGGACTAGAGGATTTTGTCCATCTGCCTGGGAGTTTTTGGAGCTTGTCCTTGAAACATCTCTGTTCCATGGGTGAAATCTAATCGGTCCCATGGCCATGTGTGCTCTAGGCAGCCTCCTCTGCCAAAGGAGTGTTGGTTTTGGTTTGCAACAGTGTGCGAGTGAAAGGCAGCTGTTCCAGATGTGCTCGGTATCCTCTTCCATTATTAAACATATTTAAATCCAGGTTGAAGCAGAAGGAAGGGACTGTTAGCTTACTAGGTGGACACCCACCGCTGCCAGCCTGACTGCCTGGGCACCCCAGGGTGCAGCTCTGTCGACATCCAGGTCTACTGGGCGTTCACTCCAGGACGTTTTCCCGACGGGAATTAAACTGTGCAAACAAAACACTGAGCAGGCAGCGAACAGGGTGGTCACCCTTGGCCTCATGCGGTAGCTTGGCCTCGTTGCTCCTGCCTCTCTGTCTCCCATCGCAGCGGGAGGGCTGGCAGGGGTGGGTGAACGGGTCTTTGCCTTGTCTGCACGCACTGCCTTTGCTTCCCCATCTCCTGCCCGGGGCAGCTCGTGACGTGTTTCTCCCTCTTTCCGCAGGCCCAGAGGAAGCAGTTGTGGGTCGCCCTCATTGAGAAGGCTCTGGCCAAGCTTCATGGTTCGTACTTTGCCCTCCAGGCGGGGCGTGCTATTGAAGGCCTGGCTACACTAACGGGTGCCCCCTGCGAGAGCCTGATGCTGCAGGTCAGCTCCACTAACCCTCGCGAGGAGCCCATTGACACTGACCTCATCTGGGCCAAAATGCTGAGTTCTAAGGAGGCTGGGTAAGACGAGGCAGGAGGGCGCCGTGGCAGGAGCATGGACGCTCGGAGAGGGGGGCGAGGGGGGCCGCTCTCGTTTGTAGAGGCTCAGAGGAGAGGGGCTAGTCCACCAGCCTTGGCATTTCATCTGGAGTGTTGATGGAGCTCCCCCTCTAAGCTCTAAGAAATTATTTCTCCTTTGTTTAATTTTCATATGAAATCAAAATCCTGGTGAATTCCCTGTGCACGTTTACTGCTGACTTACGGGAGTTTTGAAGTGACTGGCATTGAGCCTGCTTGCTTTGCTTTGAGGTTTTTTTGTGGTGTTAAGTGCTTGACGCTGCACGTGTCTCCCACCCATACGTGGCATCTTTGCTGGCCATGCCCGGGCATGACTATAGGCAGTCTATAGGAGACAAAGCAAAAGCAAAGTCCTCTTACTCATCACTCAAGGCAGGAGGAGCAGGAGGGCAGTTAGGTTGGCTGAAGGCAGGGTTGCTTCTGCCAGCCTGCAGTACTGGGCCACATGGGAGGCTGATAGGTCCTAGCACGTGGTGTCCCCCCAGTCCTGGCTGGTGGAGACCTCCCGCCCCGAATAGCCTGTCCTCACCCCTGCGGAATGGGCCAGCTGCCTGCGAAGTGGAGGCAGACCTACCGCTTGCCTTTCCGTGCGGCTGAGCCTTGCCAGCCATCAGAGATGGGCAGGACCCCGGGGCCTGGCAGAAAACGGGTGAGGTTTGGGCAAAGCTCTGCTGTGCGGGGACAGAGCTTTCAGCCCTGCAGGTGAGGGCACCGCTAGAGAAGCTCGCCACGGAGCCTGGGCTCAAGCATGCACGTGAGCGGGTGGAGGGAGCTCACTGCTGCCCAGGCAGAGCCCTCGCCAGTGGGGCTGGGGCACTGCTCTGGGGAGGTTTATGGTGTTGTTGCAGAGAGGGAATGTCCTGGGGGGTAGTCTGTCCTGTGCCTTGAGCGGTAGGGACGAGCTTCTCCCCCATGCCAGGCCTGGCAGGACACCGAGGGTTTTGCTGTCCCCTGTGCAGGTTCCTCATGGGCGCGTCCTGTGGCGGAGGCAACATGAAAGTGGACGATGTGGCCTACGAGAGTATGGGTCTGCGTCCTCGGCATGCCTACTCCATCCTGGACGTGCGGGATGTCCAAGGCTTCAGGTGAGTTCAGGGTGGAGGCTGGCGTGGTACAGCAGATGTTCCTGCCAACTCTGGGGACATTAATTGAGTGCATGCTGGACGAGACCTCGGGGAATCTTCGGTGTCGTGTCCTCATGGCCAGCAAGGGCTGTTTCTCCATCCCAGGGTGTCGCGTAAATGCTGTTGTCATATAAGCTGTCCTTGCCTGGCACTGACTCCACATCCAGGGCCACTCTGCTCCAGGATGCCCTGTGGTACAGAATGGTTCGCCTGGTCTTCTCACAAAATGCAGAGGATTGAGTTGAGCTCTTTCAACTCAGTGAGGCAATGAGGGCATCCTTCTCACCTTTGGAGGGTGGGGGAATAGAAAGGGGTGCTGCCCCCAACAGCCTGGGTGCTGTATGAAGCCCCATTTTCATCCAAGTCACTCCTGGGCTTGAGTAGCTCCAGGCACATGCTTGGCAGCCCCTTCCCCGCTGAGCCCCTTCCCTGCAGTGCCTGGCTGGAGGCCCTTGGGGCATGGAAGGGCAGAGGGAGCTGCAGCAGGTCCAGAGCTGCAGGACGTGGGCATCTGGGGCCACAGTGGGGATGGCAAATTAGGTCTGGGATGCTGTGAGGGCTTTGAAAGGTAGGGGCAGAAGTGGCGGGGGGCTGGCTGGGTCTGCAAGCGCTGGGAGAGCATCTCAGAGGTGATCTTCCTTGCGCTCTCTTTCCTCCTGGGCCTCTGATACCATTTTTTCCCCTTTCCCCAGGTTACTGCGGCTTCGAAACCCCTGGGGCCGCTTCTCCTGGAACGGCAGCTGGTCCGACGAGTGGCCGCACTGGCCGGCTCCCTTGCGTCACGACCTGATGCCCCACGGCAGCAGCGAGGGCGTCTTCTGGATGGAGTACAGCGATTTCATTAAGTACGGTAGTGCCCAGGAGGCAGAGGCTGTGGGGCGGGAAGAGAGGCAGGGGATAGAAAATGGGACAGAGGGATACAGATGGGGCTGGCAGGGCTGGGCATCCCCAGGGGGTTGTGGGTGACCT